CCACACCTGTCAGGTGGGACCTCAGCCTCAGTTTGCACACCTGTCAGGTGGGACCTCAGCCTGTTTCCAGACCTGTCAGGTAAGACTGCTCCATGGGGCTGTGCTGAGCACCCAGGAGCTTAGCCTGGGAAGGAACTTAGCCCAGCAGACACTCCTGCAGGGCCGGCTGGCAGTGTCACAGAATCCAGAGGGGCAGCTGAGGCATGGTCAGCCCTGTGGGTGGTTTTGGGGGGTCTGTACCCCCAGGCTAAGCTCCAGCACCGTCCTCCAGTGCACAGCCCACCAAGGGGGCCTCCCCAGGTGGCCGCAGGCCCGCGGGATGAGGAGGGAGCACGTCTTACCAGGCCGACGTTCAGAGAGTTGTTGTCGTCCTCCGGCATCGGCAGGTACACGGCCAGCGCCACACAGTTGGCAAAGATGGTCAGTAAGATGATCGTCTCGAAGGGCCTGGGGCCAGGGTTAAGGAGAGCCCTTGCGTGGGCGTGGGGTTTGCAGGGCTAAGGGGAGAGGGCCTGAGGGTCGGCCTGGGCTGCGCCCTCCTCTCCTGCAGGCCGTGGAGAGGCCCAGGCTCTGCTCAGGGGCACGTCACTTCCATTCAGACGCTCTGAGACCCTGAAGCTCAGGCTCGCGGCTGAGGCTCCTCATTTAAGGACTCAGGAGTCTCAAGGCTCCGCTGCAAGCTCCTGTCCCCTCCCGAGAAGCCGCGACTTTCTGAGATTCTAGCCAGACAACCTGGGGGGCCTGCTCAGAGAAATGGGGCTAATGGGGGACCGGCGAGGTGCCCCAGAGCAGGACTGGGAAAGGAACGGTGTGGGGTGAAACCTGACCCTTGGAGCCTGAGGAAGGAACGGGATGACCCCTGACTGAGTCAGCACCCCACCCTGCAAGACACACCCAGCCCCCCACAGTCTCCTTCCAGAGGCACCCAGGCCCATTGCTTTCCTGCTCTACTGGGGAGCAGCACTGCTGACCAGAGTGGGCAGGCCCATCAGAAAACCTCGGAAGCAGCTGAGGGAACGGCAGGGCAGGAGGACGGAGGGGTGGGAGGCAGGCTGTGCAGACGGCCTGGTTGAACACCCCGTGCCCCAGGCGGCCGCAGGGGCGGGGGCTGGGAGAGGACAGGTTCAGGGGAGCAGAGGATGGAGGCGAGAAGCCCCTGCGAACCTGACCTCCTGGGAAGCAGGCAGGTGAGGCGGCTGTGGACGCAGGGCTGACTCTGACCCTAAGGGAACAGCTGGCGGGAGTCAGGTCTCCCAGGGCCCTTCAGAAATATTTCAACTATTCCTGACCGTCTGTCTCAGAGCCCACTTGACATGGGCCTTGCCTCCTTCCTTTCCCCAGGTAGCCCAGATGGCTTCACCGTCCTCCTCCCAGAGCTGATGCAGACATGGGAAGGGGTTTTGGGTGGGGCCTGAGTTAAAGTCGCGGGCCTGCCCTGCCTACGCCTCTCACAGGGCGCTTCACCAGGCCTGTTCCCTCCGCCCCACCCTAGCTGGGCTTTGCACTCTGCCGCCCTCCCATCGAGGGGCAGGGTTTTCTTGCAGAGCCCCCCACCACTTTGTTCTACCCCATCTTATATCACAATGAGCTCATTGCCTGAAAAGCCCGAGGGGAGCCCTGTGATGGTGAGGACTCAGGCACACCTGCCAACAGCTCCCAGGCACACCCCGGCCTTGCCACCGGAGGTCCGGCGGCATCTCTGGTGGTCACCAGACCGGCTGCTCGCTCGGGCCCCGGGAGCCCCCTCCTCCCATCCCCGCGGCTGGGNCAGAAAGGGGCTGCCAAGGGCAGTCTGGGCACCCTCCCAAATGGGGGGGCATGGAGGGTCTCCTGGGAATGGGCGGTGGTCCCATTCCGCTGCAGCGCTGGCTTCCTTGGCGTCAGCCATGCCGTGAGTGGAAAGGCCCAGGAGCAGAGTGAAGTCACGTCAGCATTTTCACTTTCAAGTCGCTGCAGCCCCAGGGGTGAGGCAGGAGTGGGGGAGACGGGAGGGACAACGGGGCCCAAAATAGTGGCAGTGCTCAGAGGCCAGGCGGCCGGCCACTTGCTTGGGAGAGCTGCCCACACCTGCCACTGCCTGTCCTGCCACCGCCTGTCCTGCCGCCGCCTGTCCTGCCGCCGCCTGTCCTGCCGCCGCCTGTCCCTGAGCCGGCCTGTCCGGGGCTGTGGGCTGAGGATGGGTCACTCAGGTCCCCAGGCCCTTTGGCTTCACGGCCCAGTGTGACGGGGTCAGCAGCTTTCCTGGCGAGCCAGCCGCTGTCCTGCGGCCCCACCACTCACGGGCACCCAGGGCCCTGGCCTCTGTCTCCACGGCCACCTCAGCCTCCAGGTTTGGAATACGACCCTTTGAGGCGTGAGGAAAGGAGCTGTATTTAGCCCGAGGAACTCTCACCCCAAAGACACGATCTGAGCGGGTCTGTCCTGCCTCCCACCCCCCCAAAGGGCCCTCACTGTCCCTTGTGTCACACACAGGGCTTTCCAGACAAGGGAGAAGGTGGGGCTGGGAGTAATGGGGTTCTGAACACTTGGGGTGGAGGCGAGTGGCATGGGGGTGGGAGAGGGGTGCTGCCTTGGGTTACAATGGTCACAATGGTTAAGGTTTATGAAGCACCGCTTAGTCCAGCCACACACATACACTCAGTCCTCACAGGATCCCTATAAGGGGGGCAGCCTGCCCCTCATGCCGCAGGTAGGGAGCTGAGGCAAAGAGCAGCTCAGGAACGTCTCCGGGGTCACACGGCTGCCAAGTAGCAGAGCCTCATGTGAACCCGGACAGAATCTAGGCTGGAGGTCTCAGCCGGCATGTCCTGCAGCAGGCCTGAAACACCTGGGGGGGTGGGCAGACCCGGCCCCCACCCCCCAGGCCTGGGCTCCCTGGGACCGATGCTGTGGGCTGGGAGTTGGGGGGAAGGCAGCGAAGGGAAGGGATGGAGATGGATGGAGCACCACGGAGAGCCGGGGGACACGGTGTCGGGGGACACAGCGTCTGGCACATTGATACAGCAGTTCTGAAGGGCAGGTGCTGTGGTCACACCCTTGTGCACAGATGAGGGGACTGAGGCCCCCAGAGGGTAGGAAGCTGCCAGCAAAAGGCCAGCTCGAGGCAGGTTGGTCTGATTTCAAAACCTGTTCTTCCCATGACTTCCTGAAGACGGCCCAACTGGATAAAGTGCCCGGGGTTTAATCAGAGGTTTTCCTCATTCANGCAGGCCTGCAGCGGGGCGGGGGGCAGGCAGGGCTCAGGACCCCCCACCTCCACCCCGTGGTCCCACAGGCAGGCCTGCAGCGGGGGCGGGGGGCAGGCAGGGCTCAGCTCCACCCTCCATGGTCCCACGGCCCTCCCGCTCTCCAGATCCTGGGAAGACTCGGGGACACCAGGTCAGAGGGGGACCCAGAACTGGCAAGGGAACAGGTTGGGGCAGGGGGTTCTGTGAGGCACTGCCACCCACTGGGCACCCCCGACACCAGCCGGAGGGGTCTGAGCACGCGGAAGGCTCTCAGTGCCTTCACGTCCAGGCCAGCTCCTTTGTGGCTCATCGGAGCGGTGTTGCTTTGGATGACGTTAACCTGCTCCAGAATCACTGTGAAGACCCTGCAGCAGGAAGGGGGACGCACAAGAGCCGGGCAGTCAGCCTCAGACAGAGCCACTGTTCCGGGGCCCTGGTGTCCCTTCTGTGCTCAGGGGACCTGTGCAGAGGCCTGGAGGAGAGACGGCAAGCGTGGGTTTCCAGCTGCTGGCTCTGACCCAGTAGAGCCTGCTGGCGGGTTTTATTAGAAGACACCCCGAGGCCAGACCCTGAGGCCAAGGTCAGGCATGAAGAAGGCTGGCTCCGTTAGTGACCCTCAGGGGGGTGGGCGACATGCGTGTGTCACACGTATCCCCGTGGCGGGCGGACGGTCACCAGCAGCCCCTCACTTGGTGGGGACCCCAGGAGGAAGCCCAGAGCTGACTCCCTGCTCTCCTTCACCTCCTCCTCCTCACAAGTTACTCCAATTCCCACCATCCTTTGAAATCCACCTCAAGTCCTCCCTTATGAATCCTGCATTTCACGACCGAACCCCTGGGACACATTCTCTGCAGCAACGACCGCCTGTGTGGGACTGTTTCCTGGCGCCGGGGTTCTGTATGTTCGTCTCAGCCTCCACCCAGGGGCTGACTCACGGAATTCTTCCGTTTTCCCTGTTGTGCCCAAGCAGCCGTGGGTCGTTACTAAATAAGCGACAGAATGGTCGCTGAAGTGAAGGACAACACGGGCTACACAGCGGCCTCTGGGCCAGGGCTGCCTTGGTCGGACTCCTGGCACTGCCACCGGCCAGCTGTGTGACTCTGGGCCAGTCGCTTGGCTTCTCTGAGCCCTAGCTTCCTTACGTGGAGAAAAGAAGAGGGTTGTTGGGAGAATTAAATGTTCCATGTAAAGCAGAGTCAGTACTTGGTAAGTGCTGCCATTATAAGACCATGGCTATTAATAA